TGTATTTTAAAAGACACATATTCAAATGACGAAAACTTCCCAAGAGACATTCTATGGGAGACAAAGTGGTCTCTAAAAATGGCAGCTAAGCCTCCTCCTTTTTTGTTTTCCCCGTATTTCAGATTCAAACTTGAAATTTGGTGGTGATGCTTCTATTAAAACTGCATTTTCTGAATTTTGGTCAAGCCAAGTTTCAGCCATGAACATAAGATCAAGATTATGAGAAGAAATAAAATTATTGATTAAAAAAAGACTTGTTACAAAGAGATCTGACATTAAGCGTAGCAAGTTTCAAAGTTTCAGTATCAGCGGTTGCGGTCGGCTGATTCTTACACGGAACAAGAATTAGATTTTCCAGATTAGACTGATTAACTCCAGATGTTTTTCTGTAATGTATTCTTTGTGTTATCACTAAGGGAATGGCACAGGTGGCTTCATGACAGGGCCCCAGCCGGGTCTCTCCTCTAACTAGACTGCCAGTGGCTGCGAAGCAGAGACCCTGTGCATCCTAGTGTTTAGAGAAAAGCGGGGTAGGGGAAGGCGGGGGAGGAGGATGGAGAGGTGGGTGGCTTTTGGGTGTTGAACGAGGGGGGCAGGGAGGTGGATGGGTTTTTGGTGATGGGTTAGGGGAGGGGCAGGCTGAGTTGGGTGGTGGACGAGGGGGGAGTGGAGGTGGAGGGTTTCTTGGTGCTGAGTTAGGGGGGGGGAGGTGGGCTAAATGAGCAGGAGGGGGGGGTGGAATACTTATGGGGTTAGAGGAGGGACGGGTGGATTTTGTGGGAGAATTTGAGTTGGACGCCCTAGGTGGCTTTGGAGGTACGTATGGGGAGTAGTTTTGAATGTTAGATAGGACTCTTGATCTGGCTACAGTGGGTGTGAGAGGAATAGTCTTCATCGCCGATCTTATCATGCCTGCAGAGTGTTCCGGTAAATCCAGTAGTGAAGGCGGGGATAGAAAACAAAGGGAAAGGTCGTCCTCATTTTCCCTAGATGGAGTGGATGTAGCGGGGGGGACCCAAGCCGGGTCCATGGAAGGTGATGAGGGAGTCTTTGGTGGAGACAGAGGTGGTTGAGGAACCCCCAGTACAGGCCTGACTGTAGCCTGGAGTAATGGGGGAAGCTTCACGGGAGCTGTAGGTGGGGAAGGTGCTGCTGAAGATGACGGAGCAGCCACTGCTGCTGCTGAAGATGATGGAGCAGCCACTGCTGCTGCTGTATCCACTGCTGCTGGTGAAGATGATGGAGCAGCCACTGCTGCTGCTGAAGATGATGGAGCAGCCACTGCTGCGGCTGTATCCACTGCTGCTGCTGAAGATGATGGAGCAGCCACTGCTGCTGCTGTATCCACTGCTGCTGCTGAAGATGATGGAGCAGCCACTGCTGCGGCTGTATCCACTGCTGCTGGTGGTGCTGTATATGCTGATGGCGCTGATGAAGATGTGGCAGCTGCTGATGATGCTGGGGGTGGAGGCGTTGAGCTCTTTCGAAGCCGTGGAGGTGTTGAGTTCTTTTGGAACCTTGGAGGTGTTGAGTTCTTCTTGAATCATGGAGGTGTGGAGTTCTTTTTGAGGCGGTGGGGGTGCAGAGACCTTAGGGCGGAGCAAAGTTATCCATCAGTCGGGGAGTGGGCCCACTTATGGAAAAAATTGTTATGTCCATTTTCTTGAGGTCATCAGTAACACCGTTTAAAATCCATTCGTAACTTTCTCGCTTTGCCTTCTCATAGTCGGTGGAGATGGCTAACACTTTCGTCAGGAGAGTTCTATCTCAGCAACTTTAGCAGAGTGAACCTGAGGACAGTGAGGCATGGACTCCATGTTTACATTTTTCACCGAGCCATCTCCGTTATGGACCAAGTTTGTCCTTGGTGGAGGCGCCTGCAGTTTTTAGCTGCTTTTGTTGTAGAGACTACTGACTGAATCATCTTACCAAGAGTGGTGATAAGCGGTTTCTTGTAATTAAAGATTTTTGCTGTGGCATTATGACACTCTTGTTATCATTAGCTTTGCTTGTTTGGGCTTGGCACCATATGTGTCTCCAAAAATTTGTCCTCTGTTGATTTTGGGTAATGAAATAGCGTCATCATAAACTTACGTTCTTGTCCTTGTGGTCCATGTCCTTTCACTGGTTTTGTTGTGTTCAGCCCCATCTGATTCAAGCACCAAACATTCGGTCCTTGAAGAAGTTTTAGCTCTGTTTGAGTGAAAAACAGCCGTCGCAAAGTTTTGGTTCTTTCCCGTCCTCCGAACACCCCCCCCCCCCCCCCCCCCCCCCCCCCCTGCGGTAAGTTGTACACAAGCAGAATCCTGTTTTAAAGTCTATTCTCTGAGCCACAGGAAGCCTGTGCAGCAACGGACCTGAGAGACTGGACTAATGTGGTCGTACTTCCTGGTTTAGTCAGGACTCGAGCTGCTGCATTTTGAATGTACTGCAGCTGTTTTACAGCCTGTTTGGACAGACCTGTGAGCAGGCCATTGCAGTAGTCTAACCTATGGAGACAAATGCATGGATAAGAATCTCCAAGTCTGTTTAGACACTATGTTTTTGATCCTGGCAATGTTTTTTTAGATGGTAAAAAGCTGCTGATGTTATGATTTGATGTGGCTATTAAAATTTAAGTCTGAGTCCAGTATTACCCTAGATTTCTGACCTTGTTTGAAGGTTTTAGGGAGAGGACTGTAGGTGGACAGATGACGCTCTCTCTTTGTTTCTGGGGCCCAAAGACAATCATTTCAGTTTTGTCTGGTTTAGCTGAAGGAAGTTGTTTTGCATTCACTGATCTGTTGGGATACAGTGAAGGAGTGAGTCCACTGGTCCATGTTCTCCTGCAGTCAGTGAGACATAGATCTGAGTGTCGTCTGAGTTGTGATAGGACACTTCGTTTCTGCGTATTAATACGTAATACTGTATTATTTTTGTAATAGGATCATTTTTGTTGTTTTAACTGCACATAACTCACAGGATTGCACTCTGGCCTTGCCTCAGGTGTTTTTGTTGCTTTGGAAGTCAAGTCACATGAATGAGCAAAATAATAGTCAAAGTTAGAAGCAGTTTTAAATGGGCTTCCAGTCCCTCGATCTGCAGAGATTAAGTGATTTAAGGAAAAACAAGGTCAGGAATTGCAAAAAAAAATTCACATGAAGATCGATACAGTACATTCAGAAACAGAAATTGCACACGCTAGGCATTTTCATGTTGGCGTCTTATTGCCTCGACAATAATACAAGAGTAATAAAAATAGCTATGATAAAAGCTGTACATCATCCGTCATCCAACAGAGATGCCCGGACTTCTCTCTCCACACTACCTTCCAGGTTTCGGGGGGATTCCAAATTCCAGACATACTGAAAAGTCACCCAGTGGGTGTCCTGGGTCTTACACTTATGGTCTTCTCTATAGTGGGACATGCCCAGAACACCTCCTGGAAGGGGTCCAGGAGCATCCCAAAAGTTCCTCAAGCCACCTTTAACTGGCTCCTTCGCCTTTGAGAATCTAGTCCGGAGCGCACCAAGCCCACGGTGATCCAAGTGGCGCCACTTTTCAAATGAATGGTTGTGCTCCAGTAGCGCATGGGTACTTCAGGAGACCGGGAGATTAGCAGAACTCGCCTATATTTGGGCATGTCTGGTCCTCACGGTTCTACGCAGTGACGAGCTCACATGATGCGTTGCGCAATTACGCGTGTGTGGCTTTCTGACATGTGACAGAGGGGCTCGGCCGTGCACCGAACAATCAGAGCTGCTGAGCAGTGCAGCCAGCAGAGCAAAGTCAGTGCGGGATGGAAAGGAGCAGAGTTTGTGGCTGTAAAGTGTGGATTTAAATAGAAAACCAAAGGATTTAAGACGAAAAAAAGTTCAAGATGGAACAAGGGACACTAAATTCTCTTCCAATAATCGATGTTTATGAAGCTGTAGGTTCTTGTCAGTGAGGTCGAGCTGTTTTTAATTTTACATTGAGTTCTATGGAACTTTTTTCTGGGCGGCCAAGGGAATTTAGTCTGCAGACCCACACATGGGTTTGGTCTGTTGAGTGGGTCGGGAGGGGGGTCATGGGCGGCCTATTGTTTTTAACCAAATGTAATGCACTTTGTGTGGCACTTTTGTATGAAAAGCGCTTCATAAATACAATTTTGATGATTGATGAGTGATGGGTGGACTGCTATAAGCTACTCCTATCAAGTTATTATTATAGATCCATGGTGATCACACTATCTCTAAGGCAGCGCCCAGCTCTCTGTGGAGAAAGCTCATGTGGTCATCACTCACGATTGGTCCTTTTGGTCAAATCCCAAAACTCAAGACCAAGGTGAGGATGGGAACATAGACAGGACTGGTGAATCGAGATCTAAGTCTTCAGGAATCATCAGGAAAAAAACTCAGACTCACTTCAGCACGTTAAATCACTGCTCCAAACCCTATAACTGCCATAATGAACTGTATGTTAAGCATTTTAATTTTTGTTTCTTAATAGCCTGACCATTTGTAAATTGTTGTTGGGGTGTCCAAAAAATATCCAAATAAGTGCGGTGAATTGGTACGTATTATTGTATTATTTATTAGTATTTGATTAATATATTTTTTTACACATTAAAAATATAGAACATTATATATATTTTCTCTTTATATAATAGTCATCAATCTTTTTTTAAATTCTTTAACCACAGATCAGTTATTCAAATATTTCTGTACACAGAAAGTGGCAATAAATTAAATAAAATTTCCGTTAAGTGGGCCGGATCATACTGTTCTTAGCCCTCCTGTTTAATTATTATTCCCACCACTGCTGAGAAATTGAACCCACCGACCCGAAAAACAAGGAGCTACAGAGGTCTGTGCAGAGGTGAAGACGACTAAGTGATCTGAGACCAGATAGAGATTCAAAACAAGGCTACGGTATTTATCAGCAAAGGTCACCTCAGCAATTACGCGTCAAATTGATTTATATCCCCCGGAGGCGATCGCACACGAGAGGGATGAGCTCACAAACCTATTCTAAACACGTCACTCACAGGGGGTTTCAATCTGCGGACACCCCCCCATAATGATTATTTGCTGTGAGTGGTAGTCCGTAGGCGTGCTGGGTTCATTAAGGTCGAAGGCCGTGGGGAGGCGGACCTGTTCTGCCACTTCTGCATTCTGTGACAAGAGAAGACGAAGTGCAGTTTTATCTTTAAGTGGCATATGGCATTGAGTGGACCAAAACCCAGTGAGATACAACAAGCCTGTATTTGTTATAAAGTTTGTAATTAAGCTCAAAAAACTGGTAATAAACCCAATTAAAACATAATCCATTTAAAAATTAGATTAATTTGAAAATGGATTAGACATTTACATTATGTCTCTTTGCGTGTAATGGACTGTGTGAGGCAGCAGCGGCCAATTGAATTGAATTGGAATTGAATTGAAAGCTCCCCAAAGATACAGAAAAACTTATAAAACACTCTTTCTTAGTCAACACAACAGTATTATTGCAAGTAAGTCATCTTCTCACAATGATTATTCAAATAACAGGAATAATTGTATTAGTCATGTTTAAATCCTGGTATAGACCTGAATTTTGTATAGCCCTATTTTAGCGCCATAAGATCATGTTTGATAGTTCTTAGTGTTAAAGAGATTTCTGACTAAATCTCTGTTTCCACCTGGTATATTACCACTACCCAGACTCTACTCTGCCCCGATTGTGAGAATTTCTAAAGGACCCGTAATTCAGTATTTTGTTTTTTAGTATGTGTTTGACCCTGGTTTCTATCCAGGCCAAGCTGGTACTAAAACTGTTCTAACTGACAGTGTCGGCCAGATGCTGGGCTGGAAGTATGGTTAAGTTAGCTTCATAGGAATTTCCAGTAATTACTGAGTTTGTTGGGGGGGGGGGGGGGGGCGAGTAATTTGCTCGGATACAATACCAGATATAATGCATAAAGGTAGAGTAGAGAAGACTAAAGCAGAGTAGAGTGGGGTTGGTTGGAAACAAAGGCTATAGAGGATCTGGAACAACTTTTCACATTTTCAAGTGATCGAACATTTTATTTTATTAATATGCTTTTGAATTGAAATGACTGTGATTGTTGAACTTCTCGGAATGCAGTGGGGACAAAGTCATTGTTTAGCAAGTCACAAGTCAGTCTCAATTCATTGCCCTCAAGTCCCGAGTCAAGTCACGAGTCAAGACAGGCAAGTCCTGAGTCGAGTCCAAGTCAAAGGCCAACAAATCTCAAGTCAGTCCCAAGTCCTACGGTTTGACTTTCGAGTCCTCTCGAGTCTTTTTGACCGCGATTTGTTTCTTGTTGGTCTCCACGTACTTTTGTAGGCAAACAAAATAATGTTAGGAATCATTTTGCTGGTGCATTCTCGTTGGTCTCTGACCCATGGACTAACAGTTTGTTCCATGTCGTTGGCTGCTGATAAATCAAAACTATCTACGTGATCTTATTGGATGTTGTGTCAGATGCAGGCTCAGTTACACATGCACAGACCACACATAAAATCAGAGCAGTCCGTGTCAACATACTTTTTATCTTTGGGGTTTTTAATGGGAAGTAGCAAGTGCAGCATATATGAATATGAGTATTGGGCTAGGACCTGTATCTATATAATCAGTTTAATGTCCGTAGTGGTTATTGTTCCAAATGTCCTACTGTAGAATAGGGGTAGTATGAGGGGTCTAGGCTTTGGACCTGGGGCAGCTCGCCATCAACTGGACCAGCATTAGCAATATCTCATAATTACCAATATATCATTACATAATAAAATGTCTCATATAAATTTATTCAATCAGTCAAAGCACTGATTCTCATATCAATGCACCATAAACAATAGTGCAAATATTAATCTAGCTTAGTGCACATAATCAAAACAACTATCTAATGTATGCAAACTTTAGCAGGAGGAGCACAGCAAAAACATACTCATAATAATAGGCCTCGGCGCCCACACAGAAAAATATAAGAAAGAGCCAACAGAGCAGCGCAGGCTAGCGCTAGTTTGACTCACCAGTTCCTCTTTAAAACACGGCACACAGTGTGACAACTGCGTCGATTCAATTGTATGAGGCGCCTGTAGTGAAAGCATATCAATTACGGTTTGTAGAACAAAATATGACGTTAGGTCGCGATAAATACCTGCAGCTCGCTCATTTCCAGCTCCCCTAGACAACACACCCACCGGTGAATGCAGTCCGCTTGTTTAGGGAAGTGTTGCTGCGCGAACTGCGGGGAACTCACGTTCAAACTCTCTCGCGAGCGCTACAACTACCGCGAGGCTTTGTTTCTTCAGAGACGGCATAGATAGAAAGAGAGATGCGGAGAAAGGTAAAAATGGCCCGGGTTACGCAAGTCTTTACAAGTCAATTGGCGCAAGTCCAAGTGAAAGTCAGAGTCATTGATGTTAAAGTCCAAGTCGAGTTGCAAGTCTTTTTATATTTGGTCAAGTCGAGTCTAAAGTCATCAAAATCATGACTCGAGTCTGACTCGAGTCCAAGTCACATGACTCGAGTCCACACCTCTGCTAGCTCCCACTGCACCACGACCGCTCCGTTCAGCAGCCCTCCGTGCCTGACAGACGAGAATGGGGGGGGGGTTGGCTCCGAGTGAGCCAAGCGCGCAGAGCGCGGCTGGAGCACCGACCGCTGGATGGAAGCGGGGCCACAGAGGAGGTGGGGGCAGAACGGGTCAGAGGGAAGCAGCAGCACCAAACAAAAACACAATGTTACAGTGAATGGAAACGGGGATGGTAAAAGCAAGGGGGGGGGGGGGGAGGAGAGCAAAGCAGCAGAGGAGACGTGTCCCAACGCTGCAGACCGCCGCTGACACCTGGGAATTAATAATAATAATTAATCTGCTATTAAATATGGTAGGTGTGACTGAGGCGCGCACCTACCGCTGTGATAGACTGGAGAGCGCACACAGAAAGTTATGTACTGTACAAGCAAATGCCGCAGGGGGGCGGGGCAGGGCACGGGCTGGCCCAAGCCGCGGACACCAGCTGCCAATCCTGCAGCAGCACTATGAGGAGACAGCGGGATTTAAAGGCTGTCTTAATCAATAAATAAATAAAATTATACCTGTTGCCCCAATTGAACGGACACAGTGATGCCCAACAATGCCCAGCACAGACAAGGCCAATCACCATCGGGGACTAGGAGAGCAGTAGTTAGATTTTTGTGAATGAATGAATGGGGAGAGGAGTATTACCAGTCACAGCAGATGAGGCAGCATGCCCCGGGCGCGACACACAAAATCAGGCCGTGCAAACTGGCGGTGTGAGGCTGCAGTCATACAGCAGCGCTAAAAGAATAATATTGTAAGAAATGGGGAGATGTATGCAATTTGGAGCCACGCATTTGGGACTTTACCTAGGACTGGAGAGGAGCAGAGTCACACGGCCCAGTGGGAAGTGCGGGCAAACAGGGAGTGACATGGGATGGGAGCGCTTAAATAGTCCACCAGCTCAGCGCCGCAAGGCGGCGAGTAACAATGCCCTCAGCATAGACCACCAGACCTGGTCTTGCCACATTCTACCCCCCCAACTGGCATCGGCGCCCCGACGATGAAGCGACGCACTCTAGCACCACGGCCTATGCATGGCAAACACTGATCTGGAAGACGCTGCAGGCTCCCTAGGTGTGGGTTCAGCCATAGACCTTGGGAGATTGTGGGGATTTTTATGCCGTCCTGCTGTAGACCTAGTGGACCGGCGTACCGGAGCCTCCTCTAGGCTGGAGTTAGTTGCAGGCTCTAGTACAGGCGACTGCTGGTTCATCGTGTGAGCGGGGGGAGTCGCTGGTGGCTGTGAGGTCCCTGATCCTGGATGGACCGGAGCCCGGGAGGCAGTCCAGGGAATTTCCATGGCTGGTGGTTGCAAGAACAGATCACCATCCATGAACTGTCCCTCTTCAACTGGAGGAGTACGTACAATTCGGGGACTCTCCACCGGGGCCGCGCTAGCGTGGTCACTGCCAAGCAAAGCCTTCAACTGGGACCGGTGTACCCTCTTCACTCGGGACTGTTGATCGACTGGAGCCACAGTGTACACTGGACCACCATCCCTTGGGCCTTGCAGGACAATATGGGTGACTGGGCCCCATAAGTCCTGGGTCTTACGCCGGCCCTTGGTAGTGTGGTCGCGCAGCAGTACGAGCTGACCCTCACTCAGCGGTACATCTCTGACACGCTGGTCATGATTAGCCTTCCTGCGTGCGGCAGCAAGGCGTAATCTTTCCCTTGCACCCTCAAAGGCCGTCTGGAGACGGGCCTGGTGCTCTTGTACCCACTCATGAACACTCCCTCCTACGGGGTCTGGAACTCTACCCAACAAGAAGTCGATGGGAAGCCGCGGTTCTTGCCCAAACATCAAAAAGAAGGGAGATTCCCCTGTCGACTGGTGAGGAGTGGTGTTGTAGGCATAGAGCACCTGAGGCAAGCAATCAGCCCAGTCCCTCTTACGGGATGCAGGCAGGACCCGGAGCATATTGTGAAGAGTGCGATTGAAGCGTTCGCACTGCCCGTTACCAGCAGGGTGGTACGGGGTGGTGCGAGACTTTGTGACTCCATACAAGCCACACAACTGCTGGATCAACGTGCTTTCAAAGTTGCGGCCCTGGTCAGAGTGGATGCGAGCTGGCACCCCAAACTTTGCAAACCACTCTGAAACCAGGACCTGCGCCACAGTGGAGGCGCGCTGATCGCGAGTGGGGACGGCCAGTGTGTACTTGCTGAACACATCGGTCAGGATAAGCACGTTCTCCACACCCGCTTGGGTCGGCTCTAAAAGGGTGAAATCCACTGCAAGGATTTCATTTGGCCTTGAAGCCAGTAAGTGGCCCATGAAGGCATGAGCGACAGGTTGGTTGTCTTTTGCGTGCTGACATCTCTCGCAAGCCTGACACCATTCCGCAACCTCACGAGACATACCTGGCCAATAGCACCGGGAGCGCAACAGGGCCAGGGTCCTCTCTATGCCTTGGTGTCCATGTTCTTGATGGACCTGGGTAAGGACATTCCGTACCAGGGCACGGGGCAGCAGGAGTTGGTACACAGACCCACCTCCATCAGGACGAAACACCTGCCGATACAGCAGCCCCTCTAACTCCACCAGGCGGCCCCACTGGGCTAGCACCAAGACAGCGGATGCAGAAAGGGCCCGCCTCTCTTCACGAGTGGGCTGTCGATTCTGTTGCCAGAAAGGGAGGAGCTCCTGTAGAGTGGGGTCTGACTGCTGAAGCTCATGGAGGTCAGCAGGGGCAATATGAGGCAAAGCAGTCATTACAGACTGCATTGCCCGTGCAGCAACTCCTTGCAGCACTTGCTGCAGCTGTTCAGGCACACACATACCTGGAACCCCTTCTGTTATGGTGGGTCCAGGCAAACGAGACAGGGCGTCTGCATTTCGGTTGCTTTTACCTGATCGGTACCTCAACTCAAAATCAAAGGAAGCCAACTGGGCGGCCCAGCGCTGCTCAACAGCTCCCAGTTTGGCTGAAGCGAGATGGCTCAGGGGGTTGTTATTTGTATAGACCACGCACCTATGTCCTAGAAGGTACTCCCGGAACTTCTCGGTCAGGGCCCACTTAAGGGCCAACAACTCAAGCTTCATAGAGCTATAGTTGGACATGTTACGCTCAGTCGGGCGCAACCCACGACTGGCGTACGCAATCGGCCGAACCTTCCCTTCCTGCTCCTGGGAGAGCACTGCCCCCAATCCAGCATGACTCGCGTCAACCTCCAAAATAAATGGGAGGGAGAAGTCAGCATAGGCAAGCACCGGGGCCGTGGAGAGCGGCAGTAGCTCAGTTGGTAGAGCATTGGCCTTAAGCCCAGAAGGTCGTGGGTTCAATTCCCACCTCTGCACCTTCTCCACCGACTCCCACTGATGACTGCTGTCGTTGTGTCCTTGGGCAAGACACTTAACCCCACTTTGCCCAAAGCCCCCACTGAAAGATCAAGGCTATGCTCACACTCAGAGAGCAGCCGTCCTCCTGTGGACTCACCACCTGCAGAGGGTCAGTGAGGGGCTGGTGCCATGTGACTTGGGTGGCATCTCTGACTGCCACCCCCCTGACCCAGAAATGGATTAAAGGGAAGAAAATGGATGGATGGATGGATGGATCATCAAAGCTCTGCTGGCATTCTGTGGTCCAGGGTCCAGCATCACTCTGGACAGGCCGTTTCCTGGACCGTTTTCCAGTAAGCTCAGCAACTCGACGGTGTAGGGGAGCAGCTAGCTTGGCGAAACCCTCGACAAAACGTCGGTAGTAGCTGGCAAATCCCAGGAAGGAACGTAATTCCGTTCCTGTCGATGGTGTAGGCCAGTTGGCTACTACCTCTATCTTGCCAGGGTCCGTTGCTACCCCCTGATCCGAGATCACATGGCCCAGGTAGTGCACCTCCCGCTGGAAGAAACGGCACTTGCTCAACTTAGCTTTGAGCCCTTCTTTCTGCAACCTCCCCAGCACCACGTCCAGCCTCTCGAGATGTTGCAGAACCGTGGACGAAAACACAACAATATCGTCCAGGTAAAGTAGGAGAGACTGGCATTGCTGGTCTCCAAAGACTCTTTGCATCAAGCGTTGAAAGGTGCTGGGGGCATTGCAGAGCCCAAAAGGCATGCGATTCCACTCAAACAAACCGAAGGGCGTACAGAAGGCTGTTTTTTGCCGGTCACTCTCCGCCACAGGGACTTGGTTGTACCCGCTGGCCAGGTCCATAGTGGAAAACCAGCGGGCCCCCGTCAATGCGTCGAGCGACTCTTCGATTCGTGGTAGCGGAAAAGCATCCTTTCGGGTCTTGAGGTTGAGCTGACGGTAGTCAACGCACAGACGGATGCTGCCATCCTTTTTCCGGACAAGGACAATGGGTGAAGCATATGGGCTGGAGCTCTCTCTGATTATCTGTGCCTCTAAGAGCTGATGGATATGCTCCTTTACCAACTCATACTCCGATGGAGGAATACGGCGGTAGCGCTGTCGGACCGGGACATCATCCATGAGGGGGATGTCGTGGGAGATCAGATTTGTACAGCCCAAATCATGATCATGTGCAGCAAAGACAGATGTGTATTTCCTAAGTAATGACCGTACCTCTCCTTGCTCCTCTGGGGACAGGGAGGGCAGGTCAATTGCTGCGAAGGAGTCCGCAGC